ACACATACACACACACACACACACACACACACACACACACACACACACACACACACACACACACACACACACACACACACACACACACACACACACACACACACACACACACACACACACACACACACACACACACACACCATATTCTTTCTTCTTCTTCTCCACCTCCTCCTCTTCCTCCTCTTTATTTCTCTTGTCTTTCTTTCTTTTGAACTTTTTTTCTGCAGCTTTATAGGAGTTTCAGAAACTGGATTAGATGAGACATCTTTATACTTGATATTTTTTTTTTGCAGTTACCAAGATCAATAAGATATTTGCCCTTAAGATAAGCGATTCAGTTGCCATGCAAGAGCCACAGAGGCCACACCTTGGTCTTGGGAACTCTAGACAAAAGTGACTTACTGTGTGCATGATTGTTGAATGGACGACATATGAAGTTCAATGATTTCATCTGTTTTCCCATACGTTAGAATCTTCTTAACGGTTTCGAGTCATTCAGATTTGTTTCCCCCCATTTTTTTAAGTTTCAGTATGAATCTTGGATTTTTACGTTGAGTTGTCATTTCATTACAAGACGTTGAATGAACTCTTGTTTTTGGTAGGATCCACACAAGTTATTTCCGTTGAATATTTTGTTTGATTTTTTTGGTTGTTTTATAATAAGGAAAATTCTTGGGCCAAGACAGGATTTTTATTCACTTACAAGTAATGACGAACTTGTAACGTTCCTTGGCTTTGAGATGCTACTTCCTTTTCCAGCTGCTTTGTGCCCTGCTCTTTTCTTGCCCTGAGATTTTTCGACTTTTCTGCAGTGACTTCCTCTTCTGTTTTTCTCATATTCACCTGTGCCTTTGCAACAACAATGAGCTTGAGGAATCTACAAATCCCAGAAAAGTTTTGGGATGGTCTGACTGAAAAAGGTCTCTCAAGACTAATCCTGACTCACTGATATATTTATATTTATACTCACATACCCCCTCTGACTCAGCCACTCTGAAACCTCACTGCCAAGGGGATTTTACAAGGAAAGATCTAACTGACTGATCTATACAAGACAGTAGAAAATCATCTTGCTTAACAGGATGGATCAGCATATCATCATGACAGTACGACATACTCTCAGTTGAAACAGTCATTAAGAAATACTTCTCTAAAGTGAGAGATGAGGAAGTCAGGTATATCCTTGTTCTTAAGCTGAGGCTAACGGAGGTGTTCATATTGGAATCGAGAAGAGCTGGAAGGGAGCTGAAAAGGAGGCTGGCACTCATCCTTAGACCTCTTGCGGGTCCCTAAAATGTGCATGCTTTTTCATTATTCATTCATTTTTAATCTTATGTTAGTGAGTTGGATATTATTGTTTTTGTTTTTTTTGTTTTTGTTTTTTGTCAGTGATTGAACAAGATTTTGATACTGTAACCTGTTTAACAACATTATGGACCACAGCATTGCCAAAATTAAGATGTTAATAGAACTAGTTAAAAACTTGAAATAAAATTGAAATTGTAATGTGCATGAGACAGTTTACTATATATCAGGATTATGATTTAGAGAGATATTGTAAAGAGTATTTTAAATATTTGTTACTCATTTATGGAGGAAATATAAAGAGAAAAACTGTATAAAGACATATTTGTTTTACATATAAGAGAGAGAGAGAGAGAGAGAGAGAGTGAGTGAGTGAGTTAGTGTGTGTATGTGTGTGTGTCTCTGTGTATGTGTGTGGGTGCAGGTGTGGGTGGGTGTGTATATGTTTGTGAGTGTGTGTGTGGGTGTCTGTGTGTGGATGTGGATGTGTGTGTGTTTATGTATGTATGTGTGTGTGTGGGTGTGTTTATGTATGTATGTTTATGTGGGGGGAACACATTCACAAATTTTTATGCTCATGAAAGCACACATGCATATCACATGCACTTACCACACAATACAAATTCACACTCTCTTTTTAAAATTGTAGATTTAATAAGATGTATCAGCAATCTGTTCAATCAGTAAACTTTTCTAATGGAAGAAAAAGTAATGAACCCTTGCAGGAACAGCTTAACTCAGAGTGCTTTCAATATCTTCTGCCATTTCAGGTGAAGAAGCTACAAGACAGAGTTTCCAAAGCAAAGGAAGAAGTTTCACGCGGAAGGGAAAAGTACGAACTCACTCTGCGTGAAATCTCAGACTACAACCCCAAATATATTGAGGTCAGTTTTCATTAAAAGAAATGATAATAGATAAATAAATAAAATAAAATAGATAGATTATGTATATGTACATGTAAGTATCCCACCTTTAACTCATTGGTACTGGGATGGCTCGAGCCCCAAGGAGTTGATCACTGATTGTACCTATCTCACCTGTTTACCTTTCCCCTTGATTTTTAGGAGATAAAAAAAGAACACCTCTCTCTCTCTCTCTCTCTCTCTCTCTCTCTCTCTCTCTCTCTCTCTCTCTCTCTCTCTCTCTCTCTCTCTCTCTCTCTCTCTCTCTCTCTCTCTCTCTCTCTCTCTCTCTCTCTCTCTCTCTTCTCTCTCTCTCTCTCTCTCTCTCCTCTCTCTCTCTCTCTCTCTCTCTCTCTCTCTCTCTCTCTCTCTCTCTCTCTCTCTCTCTCTCTCTCTCTCTCTCTCTCTCTCTCTCTCTCTCTCTCTCTCTCTCGGCTCTTTCTCTCTCCTCTCTTTCTCTCTTTCTCTCTTTCTCTCTTTCTCTCTTTCTCTCTCTCTCTCTCTCTTCTCTCTCTCTCTCTCTCTCTCTCTCTCTCTCTCTCTCTCTCTCTCTCTCTCTCTCTCTCTCTCTCTCTCTCTCTCTCTCTCTCTCTCTCTCTCTCTCTCTCTCTCTCTTCTCTCTCTCTCTCTCTCTCTCTCTCTCTCTCTCTCTCTCTCTCTCTCTCTCTCTATATATATATATATATATATATATATATATATATATATATATATATATTTATTTATTTATTTATTTATTTATTTATTTATTATTTTTTATTTTTATTTATATATGTATGTATATAACATTATGTTAATGTCAATATTGATAATTATAATATCCATATTGATATCATTAGAAAAAAAATCCTCAAAATTTAAGGAATAGGGAAATCAGGTGAGGTCTCATAGAGCCTACTGTGCCGGAATACTTATGGAGCCATCTACGTGTAAACGAAATTCACAAAACAAAGCAACAGTTTACGGTACATGTACCCAGTATCAGTGAGTTAACATCTGTAATGCTTTTCTCAAAAAACATTTTTCTTTCCCCCTCTTACTTCCTCCCCATTTTAACCATTGGTGCCAGGTATTGATAACTTCTCAAAATCCATTTTGTGAAATATATGACGAGCAACTCCCTCTGGGATCTTTGCGAATAAAGAAATCATTTTTCTGACTGACCATGCTGCTTACTAATTTCCAGGAGATGATCCATGTATTCGACAAAGCACAGGAGGCTGAGTCCAAGCGGCTGATGTTCTTCAAGGACATGCTCTTCGCAACCCACAAATGCCTCAACATCTCAAATGACCCAAGGTATGTGCCTTCACCTAGCACTGGCTAGAATGTTGGGAGTGTGTGACTGGTAGGAAGATAGATAGTATTCCAAGGATGATTTGTTAGAATACATTTTTCAGTTTGATGAACTAATGTTTGAAAAACCCATTATACACAAACTAGATGTAAGACACCAGTTTTGGAATCCTCTAAGACCTGACAGTGAAATCCAATAGCATTTCTAAAGTATTACCTCAACTCTCTATGATTTTATTTATTTATTTATTTAGTATCAACACGATAAAATGTTTTGCCATTCATTTTAACGAATGGGATGAGTTGTTTGTGGTGACATTTGTAGTTATGGATTATTAGGGTATAAGGGGATTCTTTCTTTAAGTAGGTGTAAAAGTCAGCCGATTTTGACATGGTTATGGACTTGACTCGAGGTGGTTTTGTTACCATCTTTAAATAGAAATAATTTACATGTTCTGGATATATGAATGCTTTGAATGTAATCAAGAAATAGGTAACTTACCTTGTTGTGAGATGAACCAATCTCTTTTCAGCTTGCCACGAATTTATGAGGAATTCAATCATACAGTAGCAAATGCGGATTATGAGAAGGACCTGAAGTGGTGGAGTAACAACCATGGGGTAAACATGCCCATGAACTGGCCTTCATTTGAGGTATGACAATTGTAGCAGAGATCACAGCTTTTTCCTTTGCTCTGTGCTTTGTTCACCTATTTTATATGCTTTATTATTATTATTATTCTTTTTTATTACACCAGTTTTAAATTATTATAGCTTTGACGTTATTATTTTTTATATTGAGTGAACGATACTGAAGACTCCTATTTTATTTGTTTCATGAGATTTCTTATGTATTGATGAATGTCATTCTCATCCTAGTTAGAAAATCAATTAATTAATTTGATGAACAGAGAAGTTGACTGAGATTGACCTAGACCACTGACTTTTAATATTAGGGAAAGAGGAGTCATCAGTGCAGTTGGTTTATAGCAGAGCTGATATCTCTAGCCTTGAAATCCTTGGGAAACAGAAACTGTGCAGGCATTGGTAGTTGTGGTAGTGAGATAAGGAAGTATACCCGTCCTTTTGCAGTTTATTGTTTCGTACTCTTTTTACAGCCAGTATGGCACAATATGTTATACAAATTGGTTAGTTTAGTTTTATTATACCTCAGATATTTTTCATTCATAGAGGTTACTTTTCTATTAAGTATGGTTTGATATTCTTTTATACATCTTAGAGAGTCCAGATGCTAAATTGTTTGTTGGACTCGCATACTTGTACAAGGGAAATTATCTGTTCCCTAAATTGTACGTTAGTTAATGGACATGCAATCTTATAATGTGACATAAGCTTACAAAATGCTCATCTGCTTAAATATGATTTACACACAAATATCGGTTGTTGACTTAAAATTTACAAATACAAATCTACATCATAAGATCTGAAATCTCAGAAATTTTGAGAGTTCAGTGAGAATATTAGCATCGTTTGTCTTGTCTTCACCTGATTATACCTAAATCCTAAAAAGATGATGCATGTTTTGTAGGAGGTAAACATGATGCACATGAATATTTTAACTTTAGCCTTTTGAATACAAGGTAAAAAACAGTGACAACAGAATTCATAAATGACGTGAAGGAATTCCCTTGATCTTTAACCCCTTGGATCTGGTTACTTCATGCCAATCACACGGCTCAAAATGGGGGCATTAGGCTTACGTGAGTGGCTGCTCTGATGTGCATGGGTCGTAGAAATGTCATCTTCCCAGGAGTCGGTCCTGTTCCAGTCATGGCTTACATACACTACATTCCACTCATGTTTATCGATGGAAATAATGCCAAAGTCCCTTTCTAAATGGCGAACGAGTCTTTGGCATCACCCTGGCCTTCGACGGAAACACTCATGAAGACCAGTATGTGTCACCCCAGCCCATGACCAGATTTTACCATGACGGCTTTGGTGAGGGCTTCCATAGCATATTGCAGTGCAGTGCTTACAATAATATATTTTTTTTAATGCCTAGGGTGGCAGATAGCTCTTGCAATATCTGAAGAGGAGCCCCCCCCCCACTTCCCACACTCACAGAAGGAATAGCAACTACAGCACTGATACCAATGTGGTTGGAGATATGTGACAATATGCTTGAGACTACTCTAAAACTCCCCACATAATTTGTATTAGTGAAATGAATTTGCACACATGCACACACATGCCTGCACTCAAACACACACAGACAAGCCACATACACACACTCAAGTACACACACACACACACACAAGTACACACACACACACAACAGTACACATACACACACAACACACACAAGTACACATACACACACACACACACATACACACACACACACAAGTACACATACACACACACACACACACACACACACACACACACACACACACACACACACACACACACACAGGCACATATATTCCACCCTTGTTTACCAGTGGAATTCATACAAGATTCCCTTCTTAAATGCCCATGGAGTCAAATTATCTCTAAGAGTTTTGTGCACTCACGGCATGTCATTCCTGTCACCCCGGCTCTAAGCCAAACATTTCCATGAAAGTATTTATCCATCCACAGTTCTCAGTCACATCTTTTCGTAATATGATGGTCATGGCACCAGGATCCAATGGGTTATTGGGAATAATACTAGTTAGGAAATAAACAAATTCAAGGATTGGGATAAATAGGCAACAGCAGGTAGTCCTAGTTATTGATTCCTAGGTGAATCGGCATTTCTGAAGGCATTTGTACTCAAAGAGGAGAGGAAGAAGGAGGGAGAAGGAAGGGTGGATGGCAGAGAGAGAGAGAGAGAGGTGGGGGGAGGACATGTATGGATCTATGTACACCCAGTACCAATGGGTTAGAGAAGGCTTAAGGGAACCAGTCATAGTTGACAGATGGGACAGTTCACACTCATTTATCAATGGAAATAATACAAAAGCCCCTTCCTAAATGCTAATTGCTGAACCTAATCAGAGCTTTGTGCGCTTGTGACAAGTCATTCCCATCATCCTGGCCTTCAGCCAAAATTCTGATGACAGCAAGTTCTATCACTGCAGCCCTCTGCCAAATTTTCCCGTGATGGCATGGTCATGTCATCCAGATCATAGGAGTTAAGTTTATGGCTTACATGATATTTTAAATAGAAAATTATCTCTTTCAAGTAGATGATATGATTTTAAACCCTGTCCTTCTATACCATTTCTGTCACAAATTGAACAGTTCAAAAGTTATTTAATGTTTCGTTAACAACCAATTATCTATAGTCTTTTAATTGTACTACAAACCGGGTCTAAGCAGGGAGTGTAGAGGTTAGTGGGGCTAACAATAGATTGGCTATGTTTAGTTTTTGGTTCGGCCAGGTTTAGGTTTCTTTGCAGTCTACTTTTTTCTCTCTCTCTCTCAGTACAAAGCCAATTTGAATGGAATTAGTTGATGATTACCTATAAACCACATTACTTTTTTTAAGGAGAATCCATTATAACTAATGATTTGTAATTTACAATGAAAATAATCTACAATAATTGGCTTTCATAAGTTTCTGATCTATTGAGGGGTGTTATTATAGTTCAAATCCAAGGTAGTTTCTTTACTGGACCATACCCCCCCCCCCCCTCCCATATTATTTTGCAGGAAACATCTTCCTGGGTTTAATTTCAGATCTGTAATTGAGATATCAGCTCTTATAAACCAGATCAGAGTTCAGATCCTGCATCTGAAGTAGAAGTGTTGTGTGCTTACTTTGCACTGCATTTATGCACCTTTGTGAATTACCATTGACTTAATCGCATGCAATGAGCGTCAAGTGTGATTTCTCACACTTAGCAGAAATCACACTGTTTACATGTTGGTTTAGAACTCTAAAAGTTTTGCATGAGTAGCAGTGTTTGTTTTTTAAAATTGTGGTTTTCTGTAGACTAATCTGGTTTATAATCCATGTAATTAGAAGAGCTTGCCCAAGCTTTTTTATGAAGTCCTAACCAGGCCAGCCTCCTCTGCAGGCCTTGCATCATGGGCTCATGTCTAGAACTAACAGTGCCACTTTCAGGATCCCTTTCTGAAATACGAAATTTAGAGTTTGCTCGTTGTATCAAGATACTTCCTCCTCTTTTTTGTATCTAAATACTATAAATTCATCTAAGAGAGAATAAATAGCTCAGCTACGAACTTGAAGTTTGTTCTTGACTATAAACAATTTATATTTTGTTCACTTCTTTCATACTTCATTATTCTCTCAGTTCCCAAGCTGGGGCAAGTCTAGATATTTATTTCTGTATTATTATTTTATTTTATTTTATTTTTTTCTTTGTTTTGTGAACTAACATGATAAAGCTTTTAAAAAAAAATTAGCTGATGCTTTAAAATAAAGAGCTTGTGCTGTGGTCCTGGCATGGGCCAGCCCAGCTATATGTAGCATGTCAGTCACCTGTGTGTTTTCCTTGCCTCTTTTATATATATTTTTTGCCCCCGTGCATGTGCGTGCAGGAATATTCAGAGGAATTCCGCGACATTAGCGGAAAAGGCAAACGCAGCGGCCAGATCCCAGAGGGCGCCATCACGCTGCTCAACCAGCGCACCGTTGGAGATGACCTGCCAGTAATTGACCAATCTCCTCTCTGTTCCCTCATGTTAAATTCTCCCTCTGGACATCTACTCCACATAACACTCAGTTTTAATCACTTATACTGTTTCACTAGTTAGCCTCATTACTGCTGTTCACTGACATTTTCAGATTTTTACACTACTCTTGAATATATGAGTATTAAAGGGAATTTCCAGCTGCCATAACACTCTTACAGTATTCTAACTTTACAGATATTCCTAAAACAATGTTAATGTTGGCTCTTTCTGTCTAAACTGGGTCTTTCTTATCCATATAGATAATATAGATAGGTATGAACACTTTCACATCATCATTAACACTCACATATGTTCAGTTACTCTTGTGAGTACGCTCTACCTGTGTATATGCTTATGCGTATATGTCGGAAATGGTTCCTCTATGCATAGTATAGTATGAATGGCTTATTAAGCTAGTGTTTTGTGAAGTTGTTTTTCATATAGTGAATGTAAAGGAAAGGTGGGGCAGGGTCTTCAGTACTAAATATCAGAGAGACAGGAAGAGGGTGTCCTGGAGAGTATAATTATATGAGGAAGAAGTAGGATTGACTGAACATCTTGTTTGTTTAGGAGATATGTGGGTATTATATGATGTATAGGGAGAGAGAAAAGGTGAAACAAAGAAAAGTAATACAGTAGTGTCATTATCATATGCTTTCTGTCATTATCCATCCATTTCAAAGTCAAATGTGACATGCAGGGAGAGTTGACACTGTTCAGTGAAACTTGGTGAAAGTGCAGGATTGGCAGTTCCTCTAACTGTAGACCTTTTATATTTGTTAAGAGCAAATTGATGGCACTGTTGTAATATTCATGCATGAGAATGATTTAAGATTCATGAAATGTATACCCTTGGCATGCAGGTCATACATAATTATTGAAATATTGAAATAAGTCTATCCAGAAATGATGTTATGCCGTGGATAGCTGTTCCGGGGATGGAATACCAGATGTCTGGAGGGTTTATTGTTGAATTTAGAGGACCAGGAAGTGTTAAGTGATAGAAGCGTTGAATAGGTCAGAGTGAAGCTTGGTCTGGGGAATCATGGTAGAGAGTACAGAGATAAAAGAAAAGCTCAAGTCATAAGTCTTGGTGCTTGTTGGGTAGCACATACTAGCACTGCTTTTGAATGGAGACTGGGACGTTTATGTATATAAGAGCTGTGCAGTAATTCCTCCACTTCCCTATCCCACTAAGTTTTCCCCCCTTTTCCTATTCATTTTCTTTTTCCTTTGCATCCTCCTTTCCTCTTCTTCCCCCCTCTCTTCTTCTCCTCAGTGCCACAGTTCTATCTTAATGAGAAGGAAAATAACATTAATGCTGTGTCATTCACAAATGCCATACATTAATGTTAACCTGCACTTTTACTGCTGTGTTTTTTGTAAATCCTTTTCACATATATCATATCATCTCTCTAGTGTACCATCAGTCATCGTGACACATGGCTTATAGAGCCCACGTTGGTTTCCATAAACTTTCACACTATGCACTTTTATGGTGGCACAAAGTTATTACACATCTCGGATACAGCACTGCACAAACTTTCATCACCAAACATAGGCTTCTCATTTCAACAAAGGATCATTTCACTTTATTCTCTCTTCATACTCACACATGCAGATACCAACATACATACACATGAAAAAATTAAAACTGTTATTGGTAGGTTTCACATAAACCAAAGTTTAGAACTAGAGACGGTCCAGGCTCTCTTAAGCCTAGGTGGTTCAAAGCAGGTTTGTAATTTGAGTACAGTTTCATAGACAACTTGTACAATATTCTCAAGTGCTTTCATCAGATGCTGAAGCATATATATGAATAATACATTAAGATTGTTTTGCTTTTTTTGAGTTTAGAATTACTTCTGATTACAAGCTACTGTAAGGGAATGTTTGAAAAAAAAATCTTACATTGTGTGCTTGCTGTTGCCTTTTATTGTGATTTAAAGTAAAAGGTGTTTCACATATAATCAGGTATGTTACAATCTCAGATTTGTGAGATAGAAGCTTGCCTTACTGCTTAACTTCCTAAGCTTTTTGGTTCCTTAGGATTGCCATTTTGTGCTTCTGATATTTGCTGATTTGCTAAGAATGGGAAATATTTATTTTCCTATTTGCTATTGTTTGGTTGTATGAATAACCAAACCAACAAAAATGAACAGCTTTAAAAAAGGATAAAGTTCATCCTGATATTTGGCCTGTATGCCATGTCCTCCAGCGGTTTGGCAGCCCTCCTAGTGCAGCTGATGTCTTCATCACGTTTCATAAATTCTGATGATGTGACAGATTTAGGGAAAATCTCTTTTTGCTTTCTCACCCCTTACCACACAGATTGATGTAATTTCTAAAAGGCAGCTTAGGAAAAGAGGAGTTTTTCCTTGTGGCAGAATGCAAAATTTTTACAATTATTGAATAATATATATTGCTATAGGAGAAGAAAAGGGATCCATTTCCTCTGAAGCATTTACAATAGTACAGTACTGTAGGAGGAACAGGTTGGAGGGATACTAGGGATGTGTCAGCATCAGAAGTCAAATTGTGTGTAGGACAAGCAAACTTAAGATGAATTAATATGTCAAACATCTTGGGGTTCTTTATATGTTTTAACCCGGTATATTTTGAAGCCGAAAATAAAAGATTCCGGGCGGCTACAAAATCAGCGGGCAGAGCTTCCCCGGAGTCTGTCTGCCCGTCGGCCGCGGCCCACTGCTGCGTTGAACCCCGATATAGCGTCACACTGGCGGGACGCCCGACAATGTTTATTTTTTCGGGTGTCTCATGTAAGGGACACCTGTTGTTATTGGGTTAATAGACATGGTCTCATAAAAAAGTATTTGTTAGATATAATATCTCAGCTTTAAGAAAATGTAATGAGCATTATCTTGTGTTCTGTATGCAGAGAGAGTAAAAGGTGACCAAAAAATATTCATTTTATACTGGTCATAATCTACAGTTGGATAACATTCAGTTCCCCAGATGAACTATTGAGATTTTTAAAGTAATATCATAAGTGTCATGTTTGAGGAACTCAGGTATTAAACCCGATAAACATTATCTCTTTTCCACATTTCTGTATTTTATTCTTTCTTTAACTCTTTTATGTCTGAATATGGTACCTTTTGGTAATTAGTTATATGCCATCAACGTTGTATCAAGATTCAAGTAGATAAATGCTTATCCCACTCACAATGGGCAAAATTTATGATATGTTTGACGAGGCCGCTTTAGTGTATAGCACTTTGTGATGGACTCGTGTCCAGCTCACAGCTCATGACGTGATATGACATCACCTGGCATCATATACTGATTAACTTCTTGTGTTTCCTCTGCTTTGCAATGTCCTGAATACAAGTTTATAGTTATTGGATATATACTCTTAAAGATCATTGTTCTCTTTTCATATTTCCTTTTTGCACTTGTGCATATGGAACACATATAATGTGCATGGAGGATAACTTGCTTGTGAGTCAAAGCTCATCTTCTTATAATGGGTGTGGGGAGTCCAACATGAGGCAACACTATTTTTCACATTCTTGGATATGAAGTAGTGAAAAATTGGAGTGCGTGCACTTGGATTTAAGTATGTAGATCATTCAATTTGCTTTTTGTTTGAACGTATAAAATTCTAGATCAGATAACAAATTGTCAACAAGAAATCAGTATTATTGATGTATCAACTAAGGGAGGCAGAGGCAGTAAGCAAACTACTTAGGTCTAGTGTGGGGAGGAAAATACAAAACTTATTGCTTTATCTGTGATTTGAAGTAATTGAGTTACTATAGCTGTTGAATTGGGAACTGAATCTTTCATTATTATTTTTGTTATTATTATTATTAATTATTATTATTATTTATCATCATCATTATTTATCTGCCCATTAGAATAACCCATATTGTTGAATTATAATACTGTTTAAAGTGTATATATGAAATTAGAGTTTACTGTAGTTGTCTTATTTTTAACCTTTGACTTTGGCATTATGGATAACCTCATGGCTGAGGGTCGGAAAGGGCAGGTTGAACAACGGTAAGGTGCCAGCCATCCAAAAGCCCTCCTGCGCCCTAGTGGCAGGATGGGCAGGGTAATGTTCCTGATATGTTCTTATTTGATATTCTTCTATGTAGTTGGGTGTATGCATGAGGTTCACTTTTTAGTTCTCTGCATGGGGGCCTTGGGGAGTATATAAAGAGTAGCTGCTTCTTGCCTGCAGTGGGTGTGTTTGCAATTTGTGTTTTGTCCTTTGCTTGGATGGAATTTGGTGATGCTTTGTGACCTTATGCCACCTCAGGCCTCAACCCAAATGGCTGCAGCTGCAGTCAGTCTCTCATTTACATCAGACTTACTACTAGCCTACTTTTTACATATATACTTATTTTTATGTAATTTATAGTTATATTGTTAATAAAGGGAATAAAAAGAAATCCATGAACTCTTTAATCAAGTTTGAATAGTACATTCTCCAATAGTTAAGTAAAAAAAAAGTAATTTAGCCACTTGAAAAAAACAGTACTGTTTATTTGATTTTTCTTCTATTTTTTTAAAAGAAATTGGCTCCATTATAAAGAATGTACATTAGCTGATCAGAACTTTGGGGTGTCCTCAGCCAATGGTGTGTTTGGCACTCTGCAGAGTTTGGTATTCATGGCTACCACTCACAGGAAGCACTCGGCTGACACGTCTCTTCTCCCATCACAGGAGTACACGCCAGACCTGCACCGCATCAGCAAGAAGGGAACCAAAGGAGCCGTGAGTGGCACAGGTGACGTCACGCTCACATCTGTCAAAGGACCGCCCAACCACACCTCGCCAGCCACTTCCAAAGCCTCAGACAATAATAGACACTCGGCGATAAGGTAAAACACCACTTCAGTTGGTTATACCTACTGGAGTTGGCTGCAATTTAGGCCTTCTCCTCTCTTCCTTGCTTCTCTTTTCTGCTCCTAGTTCATACTAGATTTTTTTTTCTCTTTTACTTAAATGATTTTAAAGGGAAATGGTTGCTTGTTTAGATACCAGTAACATTTAATCATAAGCATAGATATTACATGAAGTTAATGATAAATGGAAGTAATAAGAAATCCTCTTAATAGTTCAAGTAATCATTGCTTTCTCATCTTTCTGTAAAATGTCATAAATGATTGGCTAATTGGGTTTTGCACATGCAAGAATATTGTAACATATCTTCACTGTTCAGAAGCCATATAACACACACACCTCTCACACACTCTCTCTCTCTCTCTCTCTCTCTCTCTCTCTCTCTCTCTCTCTCTCTCTCTCTCTCTCTCTCTCTCTCTCTCTCTGTCTCTCTCTCTCTCCTCTCCTCTCCCTCTTCTCTCTCCCTCTCTCTCTCTCTCTCTCTCTCTCTCTCTCTTCTCTCTCTCTCTCTCTCTCTCTCTCCTCTCTCTCTCTCTCTCTCCTCTCTCTCTTCTCCCTCTCCCCTCTCTCTCTCTTCTCCTCTCTCTCCTCTCCCTCTCTCTCTCTCTCTCCTCTCCTCTCCTCTCCCTCTCTCCTCTCCTCTCTCTCCCTCTCCCTCTCCTCTCTCTCTCTCTCTCTCTCCCTCTCCCTCTCCTCTCTCTCTCTCCTCTCTCTCTCTCTCTCTCTCTCTCTCTCTCTCTCTCTCTCTCTCTCTCTCTCTCTCTCTCTCTCTCTCTCTCTCTCTCTCTCTCTTCTCTCCTCTCTCTTTCCCTTCCTTCCCTTCCCTTCCCTCTCTTTTCTTCTTTCCCTCTTTCCCTCCTCCCTCACTCTTCCCTCCATCCCTCTCTCATCTCTCCTCCATTTTGTTGTGTGTCCTCTCTTTCGACCATTACTTGCAAAAAATAAGCTTTTACATTGAGGGTGATCCTATCTTCTTGATTCTGATGTATATTTTCCAATTAAACCTGCAGTTTCTAGGCTCAGTTGGCCTTTGATATCCAGAAAATGCATAAACTCAAACTGTATACTTAAAATAGGAAACTGCTTGTTGATGACTTGAGAAACATGTATTGAGAAATGTGCATGTCTGTTATTCTGTGATTGTTGCTTCATTTCAAGTGATCTTGGAGACATTTGTACATAATTGGGATTTGCTGGTTATTGTTGCATAGGAAAGGTAAAGCACAGGCAGGAGCTGGGCCAGTCAGCTGTAAAGTGTATTGTTGGGAATGATGACCATCACTTTGTCACATTTGGTCTCCACTGAATTACTTATTTGTTGCGACTGCTTTTCCCTTGCATGGAGTGTCAAGTGAGTATTCCTTCACAAAGCTTAGTTGATTGCCTCTGTTCAGAGGCTGCAACCCATAAACCAGAGGCTTGGTAGCTTTCCTAGAAGGAAAGTTTCTGCAGAGATGTTGGAGTGAGAATATTTACATTTTCCATCTTGCATCCTGGCCCAAAGGATTCCTGCAGAGTTTGAAATGAGTGGTTCCCTTTTGCTGCCTTGAGTGATCCTTACTCTCCTTGCCAGTACACAACACATCATGATCCTTATGGCTATCCACTTCTGTTATAGATTTTGATTCAGTTACATTAATAAGAGATAGTTCTATGAAATGATAATAGTATTTAAAGGATAGAAAGGTTTCAGGTAAACAGACTGCATAAAGAAGTACCCCTCTATATGTACTTATTGAATTAAAGCAAAGCAAATGTTAAGTTTCTGTTACATCTGGGTTTGTTTTTGTTTGCTTTCTTGTATTGTTATTGTGAGGCATTGAGAGAGAAAAGTTAATAACTAATGGAAATATGATAAGAAAAAATAAAGATAAATCTGAGAATATGTGTCATAACAGATCAAAGAGAAAAGTGATCTGACGTGCTTATATTTTCAGTCTATTTCCCAATCATTCAGATCATAAACCTGATAGGAGGAATTTTGCAAAAGGTCAGAAATATGTCAACCTGATTGTTTTCTGTACTTTGGACAAAAAAAGGGAAAATCTGTCATAGGAAAATAAATATTTTGTGTACGTTCCAAGGTTTTTGGAAACCAAGAGGTATATTTCATAAGTGATTAGGGTACTAAGCAATCTTAGACAGTCCTTTGAAGATTCTGGGTTTTGAGGCACACCTGGAGAAGAATCCTCTCTAATTAGGACCTTGGAGATGTTCATTCTGTTTTCTGGGGCTGAAGTTGGATTGGTTGCTGAACATGCAGAACTTGCAGGAACATTGGTTCATTCTATTTTTTTTTTCTTTCTTTCTTTTCCTTTTCTTTTTCCTCCTTGCTCCTTCCCCTTTCAAATCTCATGGTGTGACTTACAGAATAATGCTGTTGAAGTACTAACTTGTATGGCTAGATTCAGTGCAGTACATGTCTCCTTTTGTCACACTGAAGAATGACCTTAAAGAGTCACATTCAAGAATATTTTCAAGAGAAATTTTATGTTGTAGTATATACCATGGTAGGCAATACAGTAGCAAGTCGTGGTAAGCAAATAATATATGCTAGTAGAGAAGCCGTGATGTAGTGAGATACCAGCTTTTTCTTGAGGTCTGTCTTGTAAAGGATGCTTTAGTGTAATCAGAGTGTGCTACTTTGTCGTATTGCTTTATACAGGTACTTTCTACATGGGGATCTTGCAGTGAGTGTAGTTCACCACAAATATTTGTGTCACAGTTCACCCTTACTGACCCTCCCCTCTCTCCCCAACACTCCAGCGACCCACAGGAGTCCCACGAAGCGTCCAATCCTTTCGATGAGGAGGACGATCCACACAGTCAAAAGTGAGGGATATATTCTGGCATGAGGTTGGATGCTGGCACTCAACACAATCCGGATTATCTCCATAGCTTCTCTTTTTGACGGTCTCCTCGTTGAACACAGATCCCTTCTTGTCTGTCGTTTTGGAGACTTGAAGGATTGTGATGAGTCCTTTCATGCCAACCCAGGCAGGACCATATATGTACTGAATGCACAGTTTAATCTTTTTATCTTTGTTTCTTCGTCATTACTCATTTGTAGTCATTTTTCTTCTCTTTTTCCTGTAGGGTTTACATATTCCACATGCATGAAAAGCATCCCCTTTTAAAGGATATCTGCTCAGAATTTGCACTTTTAATTTTGTTTAAAATAGATAATAAATTTGCATGGAAAAGTTATGTGTACAAGTATGGTGTTGTCCCTTGGGGTTGCATGACTCAGCTTTAAGCTTTCTTATCTCGGCATTTCTAACACCTTGCATACCTTACAATTTGCAACTAAAAGATTACACTGGCAGTTTTAGGGTCAGTGATGTGCTATATAATCATTGATGGTATTCTGCCTCTAATCCTTAACTTCGAAGTTGCATGTCAGACGCAAGAAGCACTGTTGATCATTATTTTCTGCAATTGTTACTACTGTCATTTTTAGTCACATGATATAGAAGTGGTCTGGTCTTGAATTTTTATTAACACCATTTTATGATGGAAATGATCTGACAGAACAGCCATGCCTAGCAGAAAGGCAAAAGCCTAGAGCACTGTTAACACCACCAGCCAAGAACAAAACGTGATAATACCAACTTCTGATTTTGTTTTCCGCCATCAAATTTTTAGTGTGTTGATAAAAGGAGGTTGTTTAGGTCTGCATTTTTACAGTTAGAAATATTAGAATATAACACATCTGATATGAAATGATATGCATGAGATGTTTGGTCAAAGTTTTAATGTGTACTTAGTCTGTGTCTGCTGAGCCTTTCTACCAGTTGCAGCTCTTGGCATGTCAACAGCATTAGCTTTATTGTTGCGTTACTCTATTTAAGATGTGATGGTTTGTTTTATAATACTCTTTAAAATGCCATAATTGGTTTATGTGTACATTATTATCGATGTGATCATTCATTGAATTTTATTACTTTTTTTGCTCTGATTTATAACAAACTTTTGTTTGAAGTTTGTGAAGTGTGTAACTACATATTATCAAATAAATATTCAAATAGATGAATGGAACTAACTTGTAGGATAAGTAAATTATTCTAAATATTAACCACCTTTGTTCATGGTCTTTTCAATTCTGTGGTTTATATTCATTTACAGACAAGCAGATATATGTTGATTATAAACACAAAGATGGGGGGGGGGAGGGAATGGAACACAACTTTGTACATTCTGAATTATGATTTTGTAAGGAGTGCAGGTAGGAATCATAGGCATGCATAGTTGTGATTTACAAGTTGTGATTTACACATCTGCTTTTTGTTTTTTTATAAGGATTGTAACAGAGTACAAGTGGTGGGAAGAAGGAAGGTACAGACACAGGAAGAATTCATTCATGGATGGGCTGCACACTATCAAAATAGGGTTTAACATACATTCAAGACATAATTTACTAAACTCATTCACATGCATAACTTTTAGTACATTTACACAGTGTGTACAAAGTGTATAGTGGGGAAATATAGATATTATTTGTAAAGGAGAGTGATCAGTGTTCTCTAAGAAGACTACAGCCTTTCTGACAGCTCTTGCATGCTGAATCTCAAAAAAGCTATTTTCTAGATAAATAAAGAACAGATATTTCAGCTTTATGAGCTTTCTAACACTCACAGTGAACCATGGCTTTTTGTGAATTTGATGAGAACTTGGATAATAAGCTTGCATGTGGGACCATCTCCTAGTCCCGTACAGGTGATGGTCAAGCAATGCAAAACCGAAAGACAAAAACATGCACCTGTTTTGTGCTCTCTTTATGTATCTTTCCATCCCCCTTTTACAGCAATGGAGTGAGTGGAGATGATGATGAGTGGGACTACAGTGACCGCATGGTTGATCCCAACAAACCTGGAGTGCCAGTGCGAGCACTCTATGACTACGAAGGTGTTGAGTCAGACGAACTCTCTTTCAAAGTCGGTGAGTTAGCAGTAGGTTCTTCCAATATGATGGGACTTGTTCCAGGAGGGGTGCATTTGGGGGATGTTTTTGCAGGTCTAAGTTTAATTTTTAGTCCAGTGACCAACAGGACTTACCCTCTCTTCGCACTCTTCCACTCTCTCCCTTTCACTCAGTGTGGTATTGCATGTGTATTTCTTTGGCAAGACCTGAAAGGGACCAAATATTTGATATTGGTTATGGGCTTTGAAACAGTTGATACTATTTTTAAGTATTGAAATATATATTCAGTAAATTTTCTCTCCTAGGAAACCATTAGTCATAAGTGCAAGATTACAGACTCCAAAAATCATTAATCGTTTAGATGTGATTGAAGCTCATAATTGTGATTTGCTACATTTCCTTTCTTCTCTCCTTTCCTTCCAGGGGAGACCTTTGAGAAGCTAGAGGATGAGGATGAGCAGGGATGGTGCACTGGACGCAAGGATGGGCGGATCGGTCTCTATCCTGCGAATTATGTGGAACTCTGCTAAGCCATCATGTATACCCATTTTGGTAGATCCAACTTGTAACATTTCTGTGTAAAGACCTGTAGCATAACATTACCAAGCACAGCAGCTGCTCCCTGACTGGCCTGCCGCCACAGGCTGGAGGACTGGTCTCCAACACTCACAGCAACAGTAAATTCATACCTCACATAACCTTTGCCAAAAGAGGGTCATGAGCCCCATCCCTGTCCAACAGGTCTTTTTAGTCCATATGGTAATGTGTAGCAGTGATTTAGCACTACGAGCATATTGTCTCTTGGATGAACGTGGATTTGTGTCATTGAGGTGGATGAACCCAGAGGTAGCTTTATTCAGACAGATGCTGCTATCTGGAGAGTCCAACTGACAGCTGAGAATGGATCATAGCCTTTCAGGAGTTTGTCACCTTTGTCAGTGTTATGTTTTGTAGAGAAATTTTCAACAACAAAAGAATGTTGAATATCATGATATTTCCAACATTACACTTCATTATTTTATGTGAACTTTTGTATTCTGAGTTCCTGAAAGATTGAACAAGACATCATACATCATATTTACATGTGAAAAAATACATGCCTACACCCACACACACCCACACTGTTTATGTATTATGGTTATATAAGGTTATTGTTAATTCTGAGTAATGTTAGTTTTAAGTCTTCTACAGACTAATGTATATTTAGCAAGGCCAGATATGCACCAGACAGTTTATTTGTTTTGTAGATATATATTTGTTGGTGAAAAGGAGAGAAATGTGAGTGCGGTAATGTTTGGAGACACAATGCAATTCAGGAGAGGCAAATGAGCCCCGTTCTATGGGGCAGCGAAAGAGAGAAGAGAGGGAGGAAAGTTACCAAGGATTGTTTTTCATTAGGACTACGCAACCACAGGTAACAGAGACTTGTGCTCTAAATGTGTCCTGGTAATGATGCATATATATCGAATGTACATAGCACTTGTTTTATTCCAATTATTATGTACATAGTGTTGATGGCATGGTGTAGGCCCACGCTGTTACCTAATCACTAAGATGTTCTAACAACCTTCTTTATTTATTTTAGTAAGAACTTATTTCTGTAGAACTACCATCATTCATTATGGTTTATTATGATGTATTACTCTTACTAGATTTATTATGATTCAAATGATTTATTATTGCTGTTTCCTTTTTTTTTTATTATATATATATTTTTAATCATTTTCCAATAAGCATTACTTTTTTATGCCAGTGTTGTCTGTAGTATTTGTCTTTTCGTGGGAGTGAACTACATGCCCAGAGTAACGTCAGCTCTACTACTACTATGCCAATAAGTGTAAGTCATATATGATATATGAATCATAATGGGTCATTCTATTGTAACCAGCTGAGGTGGAATTGAGTTTCAACACTCTCCTCAAGCTTTGGTTGTCTCTCTTGTGTAATATCCAGGTCTGCTTAACCCATTTCACTTAACAGATGTCTCCAAGGGTGCAAGAATGTTGATGTTGAGGTGACTGTGTTAAGCATAGTCCATGCTAGATTAGCTTTAAAGTAGAAAACTTGAACGATCAAAAGTGCATTAGGAAATGTTGACCAGTAAAACCCAAGGAGTCAGGTAAACTCATTTACTTCATACTATTATTTTATTTTTATGTTCTGTAGTTGGTAGGCCTTGAGGCTGTCTCTGTTATTGTGTCATGGATATTCTGGAAAATTTGTGTTTGACCTCTTTACATCATGTTCTCAAACTCTATTGCTTGGAGTCCTTTGTTTGAGCTCCATTAGAAGATGACGAACTATGAGAAAACCTTTTGCAGGCTATCAGCTGGCACATGCAGGTGCTCTTTCACCTGTTGCTTATGCATGAGCCAAGATCACTATGTCCTGTAGCATTTTTTAAGTGCCACTTTTGAGCAGAAAAACAGAAAACACAATTGAGATACACGCCAAAGACGCAAACACACACACATGTATACTAACACAGAGACATGTACACACAGGTACTGTAGGTAGGGAAAGAATTAATATTTATTTTTCTGTTGGAGTACAACTTAAAAAAAACAATGGATTCAGTTTAGCAGTATTTTGGAGGGGTTCTTTCTGTAGGCCCCTCACAATATATCTAGTTGGTGCCAGAATAGTGTGATTCATGTAAATGCTGTTATTGAAGTCCAGTGGTAAGTAAGTGTAAGTATGTGCACTTCACTGTAACTACTGAAGCAGGAAATCATATTGCAAAGTGGGATCCTCTAGTATTTCTTGTCATTATTGGCCTAACTTAAGGGTAAGATCTATGGAAAATAACCTTGCAAAACATAGTGTCCCATTTGAAAGAGGTCTGAGGTTAAAAGAAACATTTTGAGATAAAATTGAGGCATTTTCTTATAAGGATCCTTTAAAGAAATATGTGGTCCTGTCAGCAGCACAGCAGAATAGTTTAGTTTGTGAAGAAAGAGATTAACTATTGTGTACGTAAGTGTTTAGAGATAATTTGCACCATACGAAGAGGTAGTTGATTGTGCTTTTAGCAAGGAAACAACATTTAGTACTCCACTTGACAAGTGTAGACATCGGAATGGGGGCAACATCCTTAGCCTTTTGTGCTGTTTTGAATCTTTCATCAGTTTGCCTTTTTTACATTCTTTTTGAAATGGTATTTCTTGGTGGAAATTCACATTTTGATCACTAGGTTTGATTTCCTCATTATTTTACTTTGTTACTAGCTTTTTTATGTTATATTAAAGATAAAGAATCATTATGTACATATTCTAGATATTTTATTTAACCATATAGGACAAATTTGAATGTATTTGACTTGTCCAGTGCTATGTCTTGGTGAGACCAGAAAGAGCAACCCTTCGAATGTTGTGTAGATTGTTTTCCCTTCCTGTCCCATAGTAAATATTTATACATCACATTCAGAGGGTTAATGTTCACTGTTGGTCCCACATTGTACATGTAATCAGATGCTAGAGTAAGTTAACGTTGTTTAGCATTAAGTTCGTCAACATCTGTTTCATCAAAGAAATGGTGATCTGTTTCATCAAAGAAATGGCGATCTGCTCAACTGCATGAAAAATTCTGGTATTATGGAGTCTAGTGACAGTCAGAACTAAACTCCAAGTAACAAATTCTCTCTGAAGTGCCTGGCATGTATCTGTCATCAGCTGTGAATGAATAAGTTTTGAAGTTTTGATTGGGAGAATGGCCTCGGTTAGGAGATGCACGTCATTCAGTACCGAATAAAGCAGTGAATCATAATACCGTTAGATATAAAGGGAATTTATGTTTTATCACAGGAAGCAGAACCATTTGCTTGTAGGGCATATTGTGGTTTCACTTGGCAGCTGTCCCATTTTGTGTACATTTGAGAATGAGAGATTTTCTTCTTTTTATCTGTTTTATGTGGGTAATTTGTGTGAATACTGTAACTTTCTTTGCACTCATGTGTTTCAAAATATTAAACACTGAAAAAAATAATTTACTATAGTACTGTATATGCAGTAAATGTTTGCTCATTTTATTAATAATATAGAATTTTAAGTTATCAAATATGGATTCAGAAGAAAGTAAAACAAAACAAAAATTGTAAAATGATTTCAAGTATTCCAGTGAAAGCATTTGAGTTTATTTTAAGAAATGTATATTGAAATAATGATGTGTCGTTTTCCAGACATTAATAGCTTTCTTTTTCTTTATTTGTTTGTTTGTGGGTACGTTTGAGCATACTGACTGCATGTGCGTGTGTGTGAATTTTGAAATATCAGAAAAAGAAAGTATGCAGCACTGAAATCCACTGGATGTAATTTAGAAATATTCACATGTGTTGTATTAATTTGGGATAATATATTGTCTAAAAGTAAGCAAAATTTTTATTTTGGACGAACAAGGATTAAAGTTGTCATCTCTGGAGCTCTGGAGGAGCTAGAACACACAAGTGATTTATACCATGTACAGATACCTAAAATCTGCTCAATAAAAGACTCCATGAAACACTTCAAGGACTTTAATGCCCATCATCTCATGAAAATAAAGTAAATGTATAGTATGTGTGTTTAATTAAATCCTTTCATTAGCTATTGTCTTGCCAAATTTTCTTGAACGGATTTAGAGGGAAGAAATATACTGCAGTTCAGTAACAGGAAACAAGTAATGGCTAAGTGAATGCTATTTCTTCAAAAGCATGTTTGCTGTCAACTCTATCTATTCCAAAACATCTAACCAAGCCATTGCTTAACCTTTAGGATATACTCCTTCCTCTCTCTCTCTCAACATCCTCCACTCCATCTGTTATTACACAGTCCCCTCCTTTATTACTATTATTCATCAGTGATGTCCTCCCCAGTGTTACCTTACTCCACACACTCCCTCTTTCTCCCATCCTCGTCCTTCTACTGCTTCCTCCTCTGCACCCCCCAATCCCTTGCCCGTTGTTGTCGTGTGGGGTGGGTGGTTTAGGAGACGGAGACTGAAACCCAATGCAAGGATCTCCCCTGCCTTGGACCTCAGCCCTCGACTCAAATAATTTTGCATGGTCTTTTCCCCCTCCAGCCTTTTGTTTCTGTCCCTTCTGCAACCCCTTCTACTATTTACTTCCTAAGGGTGCGTGCACAGAGAAAGTTAGGTGCGCTGCTTTTCGGCGATAAGGTGTTCACAGAGGACGCGGGTAAACAGTTCAAACTCACTGTAGTGTGACAGCCACTTGAAGGAACTAAATGCTGGAAAGTAGAATGCTAATTTTTAAAAAAAGTATCACGTTTATCAATATTCTTTGAGACATAAGAGAAACTATGTTCATGAAATGACTTTCGCGAATGCTGTATTTCATTCCAGAATTTTCCTGATTTCAGCTCACAGCTTATCCGCCCGATTCCTGTTGGTGTGGTGCTTCTTCCATTTGTTCCACACTGGCCGTCTCTTATAATCTTTGGCTAACAGGAGCTCAACATACATCCTGCTCTCCATCTAATAGCGTCCACCCGCGCGGGTAGAGCAGGCAAGAATGATCCGAGCAAACAGGAAAGCGGGTTGAAGTGGGCTGTGCAGGCTTACACTTGTTTATATGGTTGAATTCTTGGCGCGGGTCGGCGCTGGTAGCCGGCGCGGGCAAACCTGCTTTCTCTGTGCACGCACCCTAAGGTGTAAGAGCCGTGCTGAAAGGATGAAAGGCTCACCTTGTGCCAGTCCTGAACCATGGGCACGGTACTCCCCTGATTTAATTGTCTAGCCCTTACTCCTACAGGGCACTGGGGGTGGACTGATTATCTCCCTTTACATAATCAAGGCTTCCCATGGCCAGTAATGAAGATGTAATCCCCTTATTAGGGGCAATGAGGCTTGCCCCTTCATCAAATAGCCCCACCGGCTCCCCGTCTCCAGGCTCTCCTTTGACCACGACTCCGAACACTGAATCTACGACCCGCTCCTCAATGCTTACTAGTGCATTACCCACCCAAGCAGAGACACAATCTCCAGAAGACATTCCTACCCTCCCAACTTCCTCAAATTCATCAACTCTTCCCCCACAACCTTCACCAAGCACCCCATCCTCCCTTATTACTACCTTACAGCCTTATTCTCCATCACTCCGTAATACTCCCTCTTCCACACGTTCCCGACCATCCACCACCACCAACCCTACAGATATCTTAAATACTCTGTTTCGCCCAGCTAAATGGGACCGATTTTTCGTGATCCCTTCTACAGCTCCTTACTCAGGCAACACACTTCTCTTTCAACAATGCCTCCAAAAACAAGTGGGCAGAGTCTCTTTCTATACCAGACGCGATCGCTCCCGTCTCGTAACAGTCAGATCAGAAACTAAATCTATAGCACAATCATATCTAACTGATCATTCTGGCAACCCCATTCCTGCAGAACCTCATCCAACCCTTAATACTTGTACCGGAACTGTCTCTCTCCCCAGCAAACTGCCCAGTCGATACCAAAAATTGGTCAGACTGTGGAGAAGACTTATTAGGATGCCTCAAAGACCAAGATGTGTAATCAGTACATTGCGACACCACTCCAACTAGAGGTCAACGAAAGAATCCGATCAACATTGCCAAAATTACTTTCCGTACACATGACCTTCCATTACGTATCTACATTGGTGGCCAATCCCTTCCTGTTCGACCATACCAACCCCTCCATCAATGTCAAAACTGTTGGCGCTTTGGACATCCTGCCAAACACTGCCGTTCCACAGACCGGTGCCCATATGTGCCCAGCCCGGTCATAACCGATCAAACTGCTCTGCACAAACACGTACATGTGCTAACTACGGCGGCCCCCATAATGTATTCTAGAGACGCTGCCCCAACAAGTTTGAGTCTGAGGTAGCAGCTCTCAGATACAAAAATGGTCTCACTTTACGTGAAGCCAGACAGGAAGCACGTCGACAAGGTTTCTTTCATACTCCCTACTCTAGTAATATCGCTCGCTCTGCCCCCCTCCCTCCCCAAGATGTTCCTACACTCTCCCCTATACCTACTTACTTCCCCACTTCCATTTCTACATTCTACCTCCCCCAGTCAAATTCTTTTGCCACTCTAAATCCAGACACCCCAATCTCAACCACAGCTCCAACCTCAACTACAGCCCCAATACCATCCCCTCTCTTTCCATGCACTATCCGCAGCAGACAGACTAAACGTTCCACCCCTTCTTCCCCTACCGCACACTCGCCTCCACCTACCTCAGACACCAGTTTCCTCTCCCCCCTTTCATAAGAAAACCTTTGTCTCACAAAACTCTCCAACCAACTCCACTGCAGAAACTATGGAAGAAATTCAAAGCTATATGCTCGAGATACAAAATTCCATAACCCATGCTCCCTCCACACTTGAAGTGATTGCCGATGTCCATACCCCTCCTACTCATATTCCCCTACACCCTTCCTCCTATCCCTCTCAACACAACCTAACCCCCTCAATTCCGTCCACCACCGATACCCATCCTCTTGATATCCATCCTCCCGATACCCATCCCCCTCTTACTCATAGCACCCCTACACCCTTCTTCCTAATCCCTCAAGACAACACATCCCCTTCAACTCCAACATCCATCCTCCTACCACTAATACTCCCCCCACACCACTTCCTCCTACTCCCTCCAACACAACCCAACCCCCTCAAACCCCAACTATACGCACATTCTCCCTCCCTCCATCCTCTCTATCCTTCCCACTCCCTCCCGGATACACACGGGAATCACTCGTCACAACAATGCCCTTCCCCAGATCCCCCACCTCCTGATACCCCTCCTTCATACCCCTAGCCCCCCCCCAGATTCCCCAGTACGTACCGTATGTGATGTCACTCATAAGTTATAGCTCTCCTACATTGGAATATTCGCGGTTTCCGTTCTCACAGACCAGACCTTCGTCATCATGCTTCTTATAATACATCCATTATCTGCCTCCAAAAGACTTTCCTCACACATCCTCCTATCCAATTCCGAATTACCATTTTATCTCTTCCTCACACTTCCTTTATGTCTCGTCTATACTTATAGGGGAAGTAGCTAATGAACTGGGCGACTATTTCAGGTCAGTAGTGGCTCTCACCTTTCTTCCATTAAAGCCATCAAGGAACGCATCCCTATTACCTTCACCCTATCCTCTGATGAGTCCTATAATGCTCCTTTTCCTTCTGAACTCAACGCTGCATTACAGTCGTGTCGCAACACTCATGAAGGCCTTGACGGTATTCACTATCGTATGCTTCGACACCTCCCATCTTCTTCTCTATCCTTCCTTTTAACTATTTTCAATCACATATGGACATCAGGAAATTTTCCTTCTCATTGGAGAGCTCTCATCCTACCTTTCTTAAAACCCAATAAATCAGGTACCCTATCCCAAGATTACCGCCCCATTGCTCTAACTAGCTGCTTATGTAAGCTACTAGAACGACTGGTTAACTTCCGCTTAATGTGGTATCTGGAATCTCAATCTCCTTTCTCCCTCCCAGACGGGTTACCGTCGTGCCCGAAGTACAGCAGACCCACTTGCCCATTTCGAAACATATATTACATCTGCATTTGCACGTCATGAATCCATATTCTTTGCTCTTGAAAAGGCATATGGTACCACATGGCGGTACCATATTCTCCAACAATTGTCCTCCCTAGGTTTACGTGGAAACATGGGTGTCTTTCCTTTCTAAACGTACTTTCCAGGTCAAAATTGCCTCTTCCACGTCATCGTCCTTTCCTTAGTTCGAAGGCGTCCCACAAGGAAGTGTGCTTAGTACCACTTTATTCCTTCTTGCACTTGAAGATAAGGGCTAGACAATTAAATCGGGAGTACCGTGCCCATGGTTCCCGCAGGCCGTTCAGGACTGTCACAAAGGTCAGCCTTTCACCCTTTCAACACGTCTCTTACACCTTAGGAAGTAGATGGTAAAGGGGGTTGGAGAAGGGACGGAAACAAAAAGCTGGAGGGGGAAGACCATGCAAAATTAGTTGAGTCGAGGGCTGAGGCCCTAGGCAGGGGAGATCCCTGCATTGGGTCTCAGTCCTCGTCTCCTAAGCCTCCTCACGACAACGGGCAATTACAATTACAAGTAATTTTAGCAATGTTTGTGGGTTTCTTTCGATGACCTCTAGCAGAAATGGAGTAGCAATGTACTGACATGTCCTGGTCTTTGAGGCAGCCGGAGAGAGATCAGTTAGTTTTGATAATGCTATAACTTTAGCTTCAGATCTGTTACGAAACAGGAGCGATCGCGTCGGGTACGGAAAGGGACTCTGCCTACATGTTTTTGGAGACATTGTTGAAAGAGAAGTGTGTTGATAGGGAGCTGTAGGGGTAATCACGAAAAATCGGTCCCATTTAGCTGGGCAAAATAAAGTAGTTAAGATATTTGTAGGGTTGGTGGTAGTAGGACGGGGGCGTGTGGAAGTGGGAGTGTTGTTGAAGGGGGTAGTATTACGGAGAGATGGAGAATAAGGCTGTAAGGTAATAAAGGAGGTTGGGGTGTTTGATGAAGAAGGTTGTAGGGGTAAAGGTGAGGAAGTTGGGAGAGTAGGAATGTCTTCTGGAGA